CCCCCATGTGGGTAAAGTGGTTACCGCTGAACACAAGCCAGAGTGAGAAAATAGTGGCTGTCGGCTGAATTGCTCTCATATGCTCTGAGGATTGCACAAGCACCCGGGTCCGGCCAAGTGAGAAACTGCAGCGTTCCTTCCACAAATGATAAACAAGAGGCGTGACTCAGAGACGGTCCTTCCTCCACTCCAGGCCTCGCCCGCCCAGGCTCTGGGGGAGCTCTGGGGGCTGAGCAGCCCGAGGTGTCAGGGACTGACAAGCGCCTGTGGATACAGCCTCTACATTTGGGTAAAGCAATAGTATAAAGCAGAATATTCATGATCCTGGAAGGTTTGACGAGAGGATGGGAACACGCGGTTCTGCCACGGTGGGCAGAAGCCACTGCATTCAACACCGAGGAGTTTCCAAGTCCCCTTCTCAGGCAAGGACAAGATGCAAAGGGACTAGCAATGTAGTAACAGCAGCTAAGACTTCTCGGGGGTGACCAGGTGCCAGGCACCGCCCTGCACATCGTATGTATCAGCTCCTTTAATTCTCATAGCTACAGAGCGAGGCAGGCGCCACTCTTCTCACCATTTCAGAGATGAGAACACTGAGGAATGGAGCTAAAGTAGCTGGGCTGCTAAGAGGGGGAGTGCTCACCCCAACCAGGCAGCCTTGCTTCAGCGTCTCAGCTAAGCCAGGGCACTCGTGGCTTCCAGAGCCTGAAGGTGACCCTCGGGAAGAAATTGCAGCCCAGTGTGCACAGAGTTACTGATGTAATAGATCTAAAAATAAACTGTCTCAAAACATACTAACCCTTCATGCCTGCAGCGAGCCCTGATCTACTCTATTTCAGCTTATCAAGGATGCTGCTCACGACCTGGAGAATCGATTTACTAGTGGGTCACCACTTTCAGTGTGAGAAACACTGTACACAGAGTTATCCTGCCTCTGGAAATTGAAAATTAACATGCAACACCCTCAAAGCAAGGCAGGAACATTTCCTTTACCTAGCAGATCATGAGATGATCAACAGAACCAACTGCATTTTCCAGGTAACAGAAACTTAACTTGAAAGTCTTTTTCCCCCAATATATACGAAATGGTTTTTTAATCATTAAAAAAGTCAGTCAAATGTCATAGGCCTTTTTAATGGCTCCGCCTGGGGACCAGGGGTTATTATATTGAACTGTGACATCGCTGTGCGTGGGGCTGCCAGGGGAGGCCTCCTCTTGTCCCCACGTTAAGAAGCTACACTGTTTGGCTGGTGATATTCATGCTTCACTTCAGCTTTATTTACTCCACAAGCAGTTTCTTCCTGGGAATGAGACAATTTATTAAAAATAATAACAATTCTCCATCTTGGGAGTTGCCTTGATAACTGATTAAAGTTGCCGGGAAATAACTTGATGGTAACGACTGGGAGCTCAGATTCTGGGGCCAGACTCCTGGGTTCCAGCCCCACCGCCATCACTTACAACCTGTGTCATCTTGGGCCACGTACTTGACCTCTTCAGTGTCCTTATTTGTGAACCTGGGACCAATGACAGTGCCTCACAGGGTTATTGTG